ACCAATTTAATAGCATATACCCAGGGTCTTGTTTCTAACAGTTATTCAGCACAGTTTGCAAAGGTGGGCTTAGAAGTTGGATAAATTATGTGGATCAAAAATCCAATATCCAGTTAAGCACTTTAAAATACAACTCAGAGTTTGTATTTATTCTTAAACAGTGTGGCCTCCCCTAAGTGGGCCTGACTTCTCAAAATGAGCAGATTTTCTTTGAGGTTGGCAAAAAAAAAAAAAAAAAAAAAAAAATCCAAATCATTTAAGAGGCCACGCGGGGGTCTGAAGGGAGCTGGGTCCTAGTAGACTGGATGGTCCCCCATCACACTCCTGGGACCTGCACTTCTTGGACGTCTCAGTTAAGAGAAGTTGAATGGAGGCCAGAGTGGAAACCACAGTTACACAATCAATTGATCTTTTGTATGCTTTGTTCCTCGGAGGACAGATTGTGAAATCTAAACATTGTTTCCTATGACTTAAACTCAGTTGAGATTAAGAGAAAAAAATCAAATCGGTTGTTTTCCTGTCTCTGCAGATGTACTCTGACAGAAAAGATGAAAAATTAATGCAATCTATTTCGAAAGATAGCACTCAATGTGAAACTTTGTCATTTCCAGTTTGAAAGCCTGAAAGCCTGCCTGTGGCTACCAGGGGGGCGTCAATTTGGGGAAGTGTCCACTAGGTGGCACTGTGTCAGAAGGTTTCTTTTATCCGTCACTTGGCTGCAATTTCTTGGGCTGACTCAGTTTTCTCTCTTCTTTCTGTTTTGTTCCCTTTTCTTGTTCTGTTAAAGGAAGTTATTATAATTTAGGCCCAAAGTATGCTTATCTAAAAATGGATACATTTTTTGAAAAGACTACTTGTTACAGTTTGACCGTAAATAAGTTCATTCAGTCATGAAGTTTCTTATTAACTCTCATAGGTAAAGATTCTTGTTGTCCTGGGTCATTTATAGGAGCCAAGGGTTGTGTGTGTGTGTGTGTGTGTGTGTGTGTGTGTGTGTGTGTGTGTGTGTGTGTGTGTGTGTGTGTGTATGAGTGTGTGTGGTGTGTGTATGTGTGTGTCTGAATGTGTGTATGAGTGTGTGTGTATCTGTGTGTGTCTCTCTCTGTGTGTATATCTATGTGTGTGTCTCAGGTCGCTATATTCTGGGAAGGCAAGTTGCTGATCTTCTAAGTAAGGGAGTCAGGTAGAAAATTAGGTTCTCTTGAAGATAACTTAGTAGTGGCTCCTAGTCAAGGGAGGGCTTTGCTCAGCCCCACACTCTAGAAACTGTTGAGGCTTCCGCTCTAGGACGTTTGTTATATGATTATCATATAATTCAAAATGATAATGCAAGGGGAAACTTGGTTGGCTGAAAATGTAAGAAGTTATTTATGGTTTTTTTTTTTTAAACATTTATTTATTTATTATGTATACAGTGTTCTGCCTGCATGTATGCTTGCACTCCAGAAGAGGGCACCAGATCTCATTACAGATGGTTGTGAGCCACCATGTGGTTGCTGGGAATTGAACTCATGACCTCTGGAAGAACAACCAGTGCTCTTAACCGCTGAGCCATCTCTCCAGCCCTATGTTTTTTTTGTTTTTTTTTTTTAATGTGGGATAGAAACGTAACTTGTGAGATTATACCTTGGAGTGAACACGGACATTTCCAAACCACAATTCATGGGGACAGTCAGCAATCACATTTCTCAAAACCTGCTGGATATCAGAATCCACCGTGGAGTATCTTTTGAAAAATATCAAGTTGATATGAGACCAGTGGCTGTGAATAGGGCCAGGGCAACCCCAGAGTTTTCTCCAAACTGCAGCTGCAGACCCCAATGGGATATATCAAGTTCTACCTACAAGAAATTTGTGTGAGCACACATGCTTGCATGCACGCACACTCACACATGCATGTGTAAAGGTGCACTTACTGGTGTGTGGGTCCGTGTGTACGTGTGTGTAGAAGTCAGAGGCCATCTGGGGGTTTTGTTCTTCAGAAGCCACCCGCCTTGATTTATTAGTACAGGGTCCCTCATTGGCCTGGAGAATGATGGCTGGGTGAGGTTGGCTGACCAGAGAGTGGCATTGCCTACTGAGTGCTGGGATTACGACGGTGCACCAGTGTCTAGTATTCCTGGTTCTCTTGTCACACACACACACACACACACACACACACACACACACACACACACACACACTGGTTCTGGGGGTCTAACTCAGATTTCATGGTTGCATGGCAGGCACTGTGCCAAATGAGGTATCCTTCAGCTAAGAATGTATTTGTTTGTTTGCTTATTTATCTTTTTGCAGTCTCAAAGCCCAAAGACAACTTAAAATTCTAGACTTGGTAGAATGGTATGTTTATGACTGCCCATAAATAGCAGTTACTTTCGGGCTCAAAAGTCTGGGGTGGAGACATACGTGTTACAGTGTTTTGTGTGTGTGACCTGAGGTCACAGATTCATCATATGATCCATTTTGGGGATTGAAACTTCCTTACTGAATTTCTGAGAGG